CGAAGACGAAGAGGGCAGTGAAGTGTAGTGTAGTGATAGGATAGTGGCAGCCATAGCTGCCATAGCTATAGTAGCGTGCGTGTGTGTGTGTGTTGCGTGTAGAGTGTTGCGTGTGGGACATCCAGGGTGATCCAGAGTGCGAACAGTGAGTTGTGTGGGCGCTCAGTCGCCAAAGCCAGTTGAAGAGAACTCCTACCTGGTTACGATATCTTGAGTACTGTGTGGGCGCATGTCGCCAGTTTGCTGTTCCGCTGTTTGCATGCATGACAAGTGTGAAGAAAACGAGTCTGATTGCACTGGTATCAGAGCAGGTTCCCGCTGTTCCACGCGCACAAGGGGCAGGGCAGATGTGCCATAGCTGAAGTTACCGCCGGAGGAGGCAGTCCGCCATAGCGGACCTCGAGGTGGAAGAAGACGCCGCGCACCTGCAACAAGAAGACCACTACGAAGAGAGAAAGAGAGAGAGAGAGAGAGAGTGAGAGAGAGAGAGACATGAGTGATACAAGATTGGTTACTTACCTGCTGCGCTGAAGATACCGCTGCGGCGGAAGAGAGAGAGAGAGAGAGATGAGCGATCCAAGATTGGTTGTCACTTACCTGTAAGGCGAAATTGCGGAGTCCGGTGGAGAAGGAAGATAGCGGCCATAGCCGCGGAGCTGTAACACAGAGTACCGGAGGAGAGAGAAGAAGAAGTGTGGAAGGAGGAGATCGAAGAGGAAGACGGACATAGCCGGGGGKGTGTATAAAAAAAAAAAAAAAAAAAAAAAAGATAGAGAAGGAGAAAGAAAGTGAGCAAGGGGAAGTAGACGGCGAGGGTGACGATGGTGATGGTGCCGGCAGCCATAGCCGAGGTGAAGGGTTGACCGGGCGTTGACCGGAGCGTTGACGAGAGGGTTGACCAGGGGTTGACCAGGCGTTGACCGAGGGTGTTGACCAAGTGTTGACTGGGGGTTGCCCGCGTTGACTCGGCGTTGACCAAGGCGTTGACCGGGGCTCCTGACCAAGATTTTGACCAAGTTGGAGTTGGTGATATCTCGTTGACCCCTCAGCCTATCCCCTTACCCTGTGGATGTGCACTTACCCCATGGTACTTGTTGAGTTGTCTGTCTACTCTTTCTGCATTGAGTCTCTTCTGTCTTAGGTGCTAGGACTCTGTGGATGAAGGATAGGGCCTTGCTGCCAGACCTACACGGGCTTAGTAGGACCAAAGCTCTACTGTGACACTTGGAGACCTGGGCATGAGCGGCGAGCGCTCGTTAAACAACTCGTCTAGCCCAATGACCGGTACTGTCCGGCAGGTCTACTAAGTTCAGTGTAGAGGGTCTGAACTCCGGGCTGTAGGCTGAAACGAGGGCCGTCTTTAAGTGTTGAGGCCTGGTTGAGCCAATCCCCTACCGGACCTATTACAGCTGATGATCTGTGTCTGACGACTCGACTGTCCCGGGGGATACGAACCCCTCCAAGGACCGGTACAGACCGGCGGGCTGCTCGGTGTGGCACAGTAGGCTGGAACGGCTGAGTTGTGGGCTGAAATCGCCAGGAAGAACCAAGCTGATCACGTCGTCCTGTCTGCGACGTTAAAGAATTCTTGAGGAGTTACGGGGGATCTCCTTAAATGCCTCCAATCAGCTTTTGGTTCAGTAGTGACAGCCTTAGAATAAGTCTTGGGTTAGTGACCATAGTTGACAGGTTCTTACCCTGTGGTCCTTAGGAAGTCGGTCAGTAGGTTTGTGTCCGGGTAGGTCCAAGTGGTGAGGAGTGGGACCTTTGTCGTGCACCTGACACCACCATGGTAGACACCCGGCGCGGCACCTCCACTATGCCGTACACAAAGGAGGAGGAGGCGAAGATGGCCGCCATCCTGCAGGAGAGAAAGGAGAAGAAGAAGGCCAAGAAGAAGGCCTTGAAGGAGGAGCAGGCGGCCAAATTGAAGAAGATGGAAGAAGAGATGGCCAGGGAGAAAGAGAGGTTGAAGAAGGAAGAAGAAGAGAAACTGAAGGCGGTGGATGAAGAAGAGGACGGTCCGCCACTGCAAAGGAGTAGTGGGCAGCCCAGTAGTAGTACCGGTGGAGACCTGGAGAAGAGGATATCTGAATGGGTTGCCAACCTGACTATGGGAGAAGAGGAAGAGGTTAGTACGTATATCCCGCAGGATCAGCAAGAAGCCGCCATGAAGGCTTGGGATGCAAAGAAAGACCCTCTTAAACGTCAAGCGTTGGAAGACGAGAAGAGGATGGAATGGAAATTAGCGGTAATGAGGGAGAAGAAGAGGAGAATTGACAAGGCAGCGGAGGCGGCAGAGGCCTTAGAGGAAGTGAAGAACATAGAGGCGCAATTAGCCGCCCAGCCCGATCTCCCGAATCAGATGTGAGTCATAGCTCGGAGCGTCGCATGCCTGGCACGGGTTCAGGCAGACCAATATGACTTTAACAGAAGTCAGGACATAGCTGTGCGCTCGATACGGTTGGGCTTTCGAGACTTTGCTCGTGAGCTGGTAGGCGCCGTTGGAGCCGAGGTGGGTCACCGCCTGGACAAGACTGAGCGGTTCTGCGCTGGCGCCATTGAAGGCGTCAAGGCGGCAGCTCCCAAGGAGGAAGCACGTCCTCCTCGCCGAGAGCCTGTCAAAGTCAAGTTCCCCGATTCCTACAGTGGGAAGAGGGAGGAAAACTTTGACAATTGGGAGGCCAACGTTAAGACCTATGTGCACTTGCAACAGGTCTCCCCAGATCAGCAAGTCCTAATTGMTATCCACGCGCTGAGAGATGAGGCCGCCAGTTTTGCAAGGTCCCTAGTTCGCGCTGCCAACTGTAGTGATGATCCCGTTGCGTACTCCTCATTTACGTCCCTCACCGAATTCCTGAAGTTGTTGCGCGAGCGATTTGTTGATGTCGCTCGCAGTGTCAAAACCTCAGACAAGCTCCAAACCATCCATTCTCATAAATGGAAGAGTGCCARGGCACTCAAGGGTACAATGGATGAGTTGGTGGTCGTCCCTGACCATGGGGTCACAGAGGGCCAGTTGGTCAACCTCTTTTACCGGGCTATGCCCGAAGCCTTTCGAGGGCAGTTCTTCGCGAAGAGCGAAGACCCTGCCACCACTTACGATTCCCTTAGTCGTGAGGTGGTGGTTTTTGAAGCGAAGTCAGTGTCCCTGTCTACCTTCAGGCATAAGGATTTGGACAAGGGAAAGCAATGGAAAGGCCGCACTATCTCAGGGCAGGTAAAGACCAAGGATAGCCTTGTCCTGACTTTAGATGAGGGTAGTGTGGATGAGATTCCCTACGATCAGATTGAGTGGGGGCTAGAGTAGGAGGACAGCAGTGTGGGCCAGGGGAGATCCTACCCTGCTGTCGCGGCCGGATGGAGTCCGCAAGGAGGAAGAGGCCAGGGCCAAGGGGGTCGGGCCTCACGGAGCCAGTTTCAGGGCGATCAGGGGGTTGGCGGCAGAGGAGGAAACCGCCAAGCGGGAGGCAGGGGTCAAGGTCGCTCGCAAAACCATCCTAGGAATAGGTCTCCCTATAGAGTAGGAGGATGGCACCCAGGGCTACCTCAGGGTAGGCCTTGAGAATCTTTGGGTCTGGACCAGGACTTATGGCAAAAACGATTGGACCGGGGTCAGTGCATTTTCTGCGGTGACCCGGGCCATATCATCAAATATTGTCCTAAGTATAGAGAGACCCAAACGGCTGCCCCAGGGCCAAAAGGCAGCCGCCGGTAGGGGTAGCAACTGCCCCTACCACAAGGCCATGTGGGGAAAATAGCGCTAGCCGGCAGGAGACTCCCACACCACATGTGGCTATGGCAGAGGTTGCAGGCCGGTGTCTAGACGGTTGTCCCGAAACTGCTTGTGTTAGAGTTTCGCTAGACACCTCCCTCACAGGCGTGGCCGAAGAGTTGAAGGAGAGGATGCCCGCCTGGGCCAAGATGAAGAAGGAGAACAAAGGGCAGCTTATATTACTAGATACAAAGATTTTTAGAAGTCGAGTAGGGGCCCTAGTAGACTCAAGGGCCACTCGCAGCTACATTAGTAGGAAAGCGCTGCAGAAGTTGAGGCTCGGACTTAAAGTCCAGAAACTGACAGACCCCATAGTTAGTATCCTCGCGGACAATCGTACTATGATTAGAGAGGATTACTTAGAAGGAGTCCAGGCGTATTTCCGCCTAGAGAAAGATGGGAAAGTGGAAAAGGTCCTCCACTCCCTGACTCTCCTCATAGAGGACAGCCTCCCATTTGACATTGTCCTGGGAATGGATTGGGGAGAGGCGGCCGGGGCCACGCTCCATTTGAAGGAGCACGAGTGTAGGCTCCCTAGTTCGTCAGTCGAGGCCAAGACTGCCCGCCTGTTCCATGTGTCAGGGGTAGAGAATTCCTTGGCGCACTGCTGCCTTAGTGCCCTCGCGTTCGCCAGACTAGTGAAGAAGGAGGGATTGGAGGAACAGGTCTTTGTTGCCTATGTTAGGCCAGTGACTGAGCCTACGGAGGAGAAGTCGATGGACCCCGCGATTGCCAAGCTGCTGGAAGAGTTTAAGGATTTGACTGAGCCGCCGACAGGCACAGTGCCGCGGCCCATCCAACACCGTATTGAGATAGAGCCTGGCAGTAGAACTCCTAAGGGTGCGGTGTATAGGATGTCCCCGCGGGAGTTAGAGGAGCTGCGGAAACAGTTGGACGAGCTCCTTGAAAAGGGTTGGATTAGGCCCAGTTCGTCTCCTTTTGGAGCCCCTGTTCTCTTTGTACCTAAGAAAGAGGGAGAGCTAAGGATGTGTATAGACTATAGGGGTCTGAATGCTATTACAGTGAAGAATGTTGAGCCGCTGCCTAGGATAGACGATCTCCTAGATCGAGTGCAGGGGGCAAAGTATTTCTCCAAGATAGATTTGAAGTCCGGATATCATCAGATAGAGGTACATCTTGATGATCAGTACAAGACGGCCTTCCGGACTAGATATGGGCACTACGAGTTCATAGTGATGCCCTTTGGACTAACCAATGCGCCAGCTACGTTCCAGCGTTGTATGAACGATTTTTTTAGGCCACGGTTAGACAGATTTGTTGAAGTTTATCTAGATGACATTCTAGTGTTTAGCAGAACCCTCGAAAGAGCATCAGGGTCATCTCAGGCAGGTCTTGAAGAAGTTGAGGGAAGCTAACTTCAAGATCAATGCAAAGAAGTGCGATTGGGCAAAGACCCAAGTTCTGTACCTAGGCCACGTCTTAGACGGAGACGGCGTTAAGCCAGAAGATAGCAAGATCGCAGCGATTAGAGATTGGCCCACGCCACGTACGCTGATAGAGTTGCGCTCGTTCCTGGGCCTAGCTAACAACTATAGGAAGTTCGTGAGGAACTTCTCCACCATCGCTGCGCCCCTTCGCAGATTGCTGAGAAAAGAGACAATCTGGAAGTGGGACAAGGACTGCACGTCTGCCATGAAGAAGCTAAAGCAGGCATTGATAGAGTATCCGGTCCTTAAGGTCACCGATCCGTCCTTGCCTTTTGTCGTTACTACTGATGCTAGCCAGTACGGCATAGGCGCAGTGTTACAGCAAGACGATGGCAATGGCTATAGACCCATAGAGTTCATGTCCGCCAGGATGCCTTCAGAGAAGGTCGCGACATCTACCTATGAAAGGGAACTTTGCGCTCTTAGGCAAGCCTTAGACCACTGGAAGCACTACTTGCTTGGGAGGCACTTCAAAGTCTATTCTGACCATGAGACATTACGATGGTTAAAGACGCAGGCCAAGATGACACCTAAGCTTACTAGGTGGGCCGCAGAGATAGATCAGTATGACTTTGAGCTCAAGCCTGTCAAAGGGAAGTACAACGTAGTTGCGGATGCTCTGAGTAGGAGAGCGGATTACTTTGGGGCAATAGTACATTACCTCGATATAGGGAAGGACCTGCGGAAGAGGGTTAGAGAAGCTTACGCGCAGGACCCTATCTATAGTGAGCTCCTTAAGAAAGTCAAGGAGGCCCCAGAGACTGAACCGAATTACCGCACTACCGAAGGGTTGCTTTTTGAGAAGACTAATGTGTCTGACCGCCTGTGCATCCCCAATAGCGAAGAGATTTGTAGTCTGATTCTGGGCGAATGCCATGACACAAAGGGTCATTTTGGTTGGCAGAAGACTTTAGCCAATCTGATGCGCGCGCATACCTGGCCAGGGATGAAGAATGACTGCGTAGAGTATGTTCGCAGTTGTAAAGTCTGCCAACGTAACACGACATCTACGTGTGCTCCCTTAGGTCTTCTCAGACCCTTGCCCATTCCGAATCAACCGGGAGACTCGGTGTCCATAGACTTCATGGACACTCATGTCAAAAGCAGGCATGGCAAGAGCCAGGTCATGGTCATCGTTGACCGCTTTAGCAAGTACGCAGTTTTTGTTCCTTTGCCTTCAGAGGCGMATACTGATTTAGTCATACAGAGRTKCTTTGACTGTTGGATTRGTGAGAATGGARTCCCGCTGTCAATAGTTAGTGATRGAGATAGTCGTTTCACCAGCCAGAACTGGCAAGAACTCATGGGAGTGTATGGATCCAAGTTGTTGATGTCGTCCGRCCGTCATCCAGAGACTAAYGGTCAGACARAGCAAATGAACAAGATCCTACAGCAAGTTCTGCGCATGTACATTAGGCCAGATCAGATTAACTGGGATGAGATGTTGCCCAAAGTAGCTAGTGCGTACAATAACAGTGTGCATTTGTCTACCTGCCGCACTCCCAACGAACTGCACAAGTCCTTTCCACCGCGCAGACCGTTTGAGGGACTCAACCAGGATCAGATTCACAGATTGCCACCCGGGACCAGGGAGTTTGCTGTACAGCACAAAAAAGAACTAGCTACTGTCGTAGAAAACCTCAGGAAAGCCCAGCATAGGATGATAGAGCAAGCGAACAAACATCGTCGCCCTTCACAGTTTCAAGTAGGCGACTTAGTCTGGGTTAGTTCTAAAGAGTTTGCACCTGAGGAGAACATCTCGCAGAAGTTACTGCCCACGTATAGAGGGCCGTGGCCTGTCCTGGAAGTCAAGGGCGGCGAAGATGGACCGTCCTATAAAATAGAACTCCCAGCACACCTCCACACATACCCAGTTTTCCACGCATCGAAGTTGCTACCTTGTCAGACAAGTGACCAGTTTCCATCCCGTAGATCGATGATCCCACCGGATATGGATGGAAGATACGACATAGATGGTATAGTGGCTGAAGATGTTTTCAGAACTGGAGGTAGGGGTCGTCCGCAGAAACAGTACAAGGTTCATTTCAGTTATCAAGAACCGGAAGACGACCGCTGGTTTACAAGATCTGAACTTCTAGAGACAGCTCCCGTATAGTCCGGGCCTATGAGAGACAGCAGAAGGGTAAAGGTCCTGCCTTGGACTGAAATTCTCTCGGAGGACCTCGAATTCAGGCCGGCGGGAGTGAAACGGTATTCACCAGTTCGCAGTAGCGAATGCAGATCCCAGGGCTCGATCCCTAGTTCCCCCATCTTTCCTGTGTACAGTATGGATGTCAAC